ACAGCGGGCACGACGCCGCCTGGCGGGTCTTCCCTACAGGCTGCCGAACCACTTTGATCCGTTAGGTTCAGATTTTGCGGGTGCAGTCCTGAGGTACTTCTCCCTTAGGACACTTAGCCAAAAGTTGAGATGCTCCCTCCTCATGCCCTATGTCGATGACATGTTGGTGAAGAGCTTGAAAGCCAACGAACACACCTTGGACCTCAACGAGACCTTTACAGTGCTGAGGAAATACAACATGAAGCTGAACCCTAGCAAGTGTGCCTATGGCATCACCTTGGACAAATTGGGATTCGTCGTTACTCAGCGAGGCATAAAGGCCAACCCAGAGAAAATTTAGGCTATACTTGACATGAAGCCACCTTAGTCCATCAAGGAAACACAACTCACCGATTGAGTGGCTGCCCTTAGCTGGTTGATGTCGAAGTTGGTCAATCATTGTAGACCCTTCTTTCGAGTCATCAAGAAGCCGAAGGACTTCTAGTGGACCGATGAATGCCAAAGGGCCTTTGATGAGATGAAGTCCTACCTCGCCTCACCCCCACTACTCACATGGCCCCTCCTGGGAGAAACTCTGCTCTTGTACCTCTTGGTCGGGAATGAGGCTGTCAGCTCCGTTCTGGTATGAGAAGATGAAGGAGTATAGATGTCGATCTGTTATGTTGGAAAGGTCCTTTGTGATGCCAAGGCCAAATATCCCGTTGTGGAGAAACTAGCCTTTACATTGGTGAACTGGCAAGTAGCTCAAGATCGGCCCTCGGTTGAACTGTACATGTTGAAAAGCTTGCACGACCTACCATTGAAGAGAAGTAGGTGTGTTCCATCCAAGCTTGCATGACCTATCTGTAGCACGAGCAACTCTCCTCCAACAATAATGAAGCAAGGAGAGTCCGACGGTAGGCAGCCCACTACACCCTGTGTAGGTACATAGTGGTCACAAACACTACACAAACGCTTGCAATGAATCAAGAATCCATCACAGATTTGTGATATCCGTAATTGCGATGAACTCATACCCGGGACAGGTTGCGATGAATTTTGGCTAGCACGAATCTGCGATAAAGCTAAAACACACGCGGGTTTGCGATGAACCCCGGACACACACGGATTTCTGATGTACCGAACACGCATAAAGTTGCAATGAACCCGACACCATTACAGAACCGCAGAATCTCGATAGATCTGGAATAAATTCCGATTACACGTGCATCTTTAAATTATGCATGCATGCTCAATAAAAGTATGCCTACCAAGCGATGACGTTATCCACGCCATGTCAGTATAACAGGGTCACATACGGAGAGAATCTGGAAGGAATAAGATGCTCTAGAAATGATCCCTTAATAGTCAAACTAAAGGAAATATTTCCTTTCCTAATAGAAAAGATTCCCTTTTTTCCTAACGGGAAAGAACTTCTTCATTAACTTCCTCTCTATAAAAGGGAGAGAGCAATTCTTCCCTAGATAGATAACACAATCATAACTCTAACTTAGGGTTTATCACACAGGGGTCCTCCCTTATTTCTTATCTTCTCCTCTCTTCCCCACATCTTCTCCCTCTCTGTCCCGCCGCCATCTCCAAACCTTCAAAGACTGACCGACTGCTAGGAGTCTACAGTGAAAACACCTTGCTCGAAGGCAAGCTGTATAGCAGATCTTTCACCTTGATCTACCTCCGATGCCCTCGCCGAGATGAGGGCAAGTATGTGATATGAGATCCACAAAGGCATTTGTGGCAACCACATCAAAGGTAAAGCCTTGGCACAAAAAGCACTAAGGTAAGGATATTTTTAGTGGACCATACAGAAGGATGCCGTCGAGCTAATATAGAAGTGTGGCCAATGACTGAGACACTCCAACATCTCTCGTTAGCCTTCCACGACCCTCTTGGCCCTCATCTGTCCATGGACTTTTGCTAAGTGGGGAATGGATCTCCTCGCCGCGGTAGACTATTTTACTAAGTGGGTCAAAGTTGGGCCATTGGACATCATCAGGCTAAAATGATCCAAAACTTCTTCTAGAAAAATGTCATCTACCGCTTCAGCATCACCCACATGCTTGTCACTGACAACGACAAAAAGTTTGACGACGCAAGATTCAGAGAATGGTGTGCAAGCCTCGGAATAAAGTAGCAATACACTTCGATTGGCTACCCCCAAACCAATGACCTAATCGAGGTCACCAACAGAACCATATTAGAAAGATTGAAGACAAGGTTAGACAGAGTCAAGGGTCTTTGGGCTGATGAGCTATACAACATCTTTTGGGCCTACTGGACGACACCTTGAACCGCCACAGGTGAGACCCCGTTTAACCTGACGTACGGGAATCGTCCCCAATTGCTGAATCTGGGTCATCACATTGGCCTCCTCATTGTTATTATATGGCCATACCTTCTTGGCCACGATATCCAACTTCCCCCAATTTGACCTGAAAGGCTAAACCTCTGGACAGGACACAAAGAAATACTTCTTCTTTCACTTGTGAATGGACGACAGGTTGTCCCCCACTCTACCCCATTGGCCTTGGAAGTAGAATAAGTCGGCCCCAACGGGATGCTTCCAAAAGGCGAACATGCATCGGAAGATGTTCACGGTGACATACACACCTCGGAGGCGGGCCATTACCAGCACAACTATAATAGTCCTAACGACATTGGGAGCTAACAAACTGAGGAAGATGTTGTAGAAGTTAAGGATCTCGAAGACACTTCCCCCTTGGGTGGCTGCTACGGTCAGTCGTTGACGTTGGGGACTCTAAGACTATAGCCCCCAGGAATATGGTACATTTCAGCAAGAGCCCTCACTTGCTCTTTGTTGAGTTCGTTGTCCAGGTTAGAACATGGATAATGCATCAACGTCACACCTGGCCTTTGGCTTTGGCTAGCTCCTTAGGAGTGGGGTCCTCGGCCTCCTCCGATTCAACCACCTCAGGATGCGTTAAGGCATTCCTTGCAGCATTCGCCCCTCGGCCTTGTAGAGCTGATACTTTCATCGGGATATTCCTCTCCCCGCCAGTTACACTCGACACCTCCAGGGGTAGTCCTTTCCCTTAGTACCTGGACTCCAGGCGCCCGAGGGGAGATCTCGGATTCACTACTAGTGTCCTTACTGCTAGACAAGGTGGAACAAGGGTGCTGGTGTTTGTAAGGTGAGGAAGCTCATTGCACTCGGGAGTGGAGTCTGAGTATGACATGGTTCCAGGAAGAGTCCTTTACCTAACAAGCTGAGTTTGAGGAAGAAGGCTAAGGTAATGATTGGTTTGTGGCCGAGGTCTCTGGAGATATAGGTGGAAGCGAAGAAATGGTAGGGAGCTACTTCTACCAGTGCCTTTATTTAAAGAGAAACGAATGGCTCTGATTGCTTCAATCCAATAGTTGTGGAGCCATCGACTTGATAGCTCGAACCGATGCGTGCCACATGGCATCAACTTCGGGAATATGAAACGACGCCAAGCGAATTAGCCGGTCCGCCCACCAACTCTGGGCCAGGAGTGGCCCAAACTGAGCAATCCAACGCCTATCTCATGCACAACCACAACCGATCAATGCCGATGCTCGTCTCGCACATGGATCCGTGATGACACTCGTATAGAGCATGGTCGATGAACGTGAATGCCTCGCACCCTTGCCATGCACGGCATCGCCCCCTCGCTCGACATGATCTCCAAAGAGGCAGAAAGTCTACAAGGAAACAATTGCCATAGGGTTACCCAGGAAAGCTCTCAACAGTCAAGGCCGACAGCCTGACGCCTCCGCATTGCTGTATGACGCCCTCTCCAATCGAAGCCGAGGTCCTTACCAAACGTTCCATCATATGCCTCTACAAGGTACTATAATGCTCTCTTCGGCCAAAGATAAGGTCTCAACCCATCACACTATTCGACCTTGACAACCATGACTTTGAGAGTGGGGGGCAAGTGATGTAGGTGCATATGGCAAGGCCTAGGACTGTACCACATGACATTGGTCGGATGAGATCCTGACCGTCCGTTCCTAACAACCCCTAACCATTCCATTGCAAGGTCAAGTATAAAAGGGGGTGCCCAGCTTTAGTTTCATTACGTAACTACTACTAATTTATTTATAAATTTATTGGTTTCAAATCTTAGAGTCTTAAACTACTAAGAGTACGAGACATGCATAGTTTCCATTGCCATGCAATCCTCCTTCCGGGGAGACTCTTTATCGGTTGGAATTGGTATGCTTGATCACTCATTCACTCTCTTGTAGCATTAATGGCTATAGTTTAGGGTTACATTTTTGTAGACTTTTCTTTTTAATCCTTTCTTTAGTTTGTCCATTAGAAGCCAGAATGATAATGTTTAATTTTCTTAATCTATTATTTTTCTTGGCTTTGCAACGGATCGTTATTAGTTCGTTTCTAGTTTTAAAGGAATAAGATTATTTGATAAGTTTTATATGTTTGAACTGTTTAACTTTTCATTATAACAGTGTTTTGGCTCATGGTTTTTAAAATCGAACTGGTCAGGGTCCGGTTACCGGTTCGAATGGTCTGACAAACTGTTATGGTTGGCCCATTCTAACAAAAAAATACAAAAATTGAAAAATGGTCAAAACCGTTCGAACGGTTAACCGACTGTGGTTCAGCGGTTTACTGACCAAAATCAACGATTTTAGGGAAAAAAGCGGTTTTGAGGAAAAACGGAATTGTAGGTTTTGATCAGTTCTCAGTTTTTTCGGTCTAATTGTCCAGTCTGGTCCGATTTTGAAAACCATGTTTTGGCTCGTAACATGAGCTAGTGGATCCGAAAAGAGGGCCAAGGGTTTAGGAAGTGGTGATGAAAAATTTTCATGGCCATCGAAAGGAGGATGAGGAGGAAAGAGAAAGATGAAAACCTGAGGTGGGGAGATTTATTCAATGGTATGAAAGAAGAAAAAGATGAACAATATTTCTACCCTTTTTGATATTTTTTTGAGAAAATAATCTTACTTTAAAAAAATTATTTTTATTGATAATAATACCCAAAATTTGCCCTTCTCAGCTGATCCTTGTTTTTTCTATATATGTTTATTTTCTCTCTTTTCCTTTCTTGACGCTAAAATCGGGGCTTCCCCCAATCCTCCCCCTTATTTCCATATTCGAGAACATGACTTCGCACAATCTTCTCCGCCTCTCTGATAGGAAAGAGGGACTTTGCCACTCATTATTTTTATGAAGTCAGGGGGTTCGCCCCTTTTCTCCTATTCTCAATCATCTTTTTTTTCTCATGTGCATTTCTACACTTCGTCTTCCTTTTCTTCTATCACCGTCGATTTCGTTAAAACTTTTACAAGGTCACATGGGTTTCGGCCAACCCTTTTTCTGTGTATGCGTTCTTTAGTCTCCATTAAAGAGCAAAGCGAAGACTTTGGATGTTTTACTAACCTGTACGTGGTTTATTGGTTTTGTATTTTCAGGAGCTCCTTGAGCATTGCTCTTCCTTCCATGTTGTCTTCTGGAATATCTGGACCTACTGTTGAAGAGTATGCATTTATTACTCTCTTTTGAATAATTTATTTATTTACCTTTTGCTTATGTTTTGTAAAATTCATGATTGGGGATCATGTAGTTCTTGAATGGTTGCATGTCTTGGTTTACACAACGTAGAGATATGATGCCCATTAATGCTTATTAATTTATTTATTCAAAATTGGGTTTTCTTTTTTTTTTTTTTAAATTATATAATTACTGATTGCTACATAAAGATATATAATTACCCTATAATTCTAGAGATATGATGCCCATTAATGGGTTTTCTTTAGTCCTGGAATTCCAAGTACAATGTAATATTATCTTTTTTTTTTTTCACTATATTATATAGTAGATATCTTACCACGTTCCCATGCTGACCTCTACTAGACGTACATATAGAATTTCCAAACTCATGTCAGTTTCATATACATTGTTATAGTCCATGTAAGCCTTACAGCCTTCTCTATGAGATCAAATACGCAATTCATGAATTATTGAGTTATAAGTGAAAAACCAAAAAAGATCCACCATGTATGTAACTGTAGCTCTACTCCCTGAAGTATCAAACACAACTTTTGCATAATCAAAAAGTAGATTATATCCTCAAGTGCTTTTAGTCTTTCTTTTCAATTCCATTCTCTTGCAATTCAGTGTTATATTGGCATTTTCATATATAGACTGAAAATCTTGTAGGTCATATTGTTCTCTTTTGAGATTAAGGCATTAAGCCCCAACTGATCTTTCTCTGCTGTTGTGATTGAAGGAGTCCCAACTCTATGAACTCTAGGTCCATGACTTAGCTCAGTAGAGGCTTCAAATTCTCCATTCCTATTAAACCTATCTCTCAACTTAAATCTGTCATTGTCTGTCCAAGTCCAGTTATTTGGTCTGTACTTCTGCTTCATGGGACCATTATGCAGAAAGAATACTCATCCATGGTTATACACACACACACATTAGGCTCTCCTCGGAACCTCCCCCAAAACAAATCCCTCTTATGCACCCCATGTTTAACTAAGGCATTATCCATACAATTTGCACCCATTGGAACCCAAAAACTCTGAGTTATCTTAAATATGTCTCTATAGCTCCAAGGTCCTTGGTAGAAAATAAATGGAGCTTTCTCATGGGGTAGCATCCTTTCACAAATCCTGCTAAATTAGCCCCCAGTAGTGGCTTTGCAAAATTTATCAGTTTATGATTAACAAATCAAAGTCATTAAAAGAAGCATGAATCAATTTGGAAATAATATCTCAAACCCACTTAGGGGAGGGTCTTTTTGACAAAAATAAATAAAATTTCACAAAAAAATGATAAAAAACAAACAAAAAGTATCATCATTGTAATTTCATTCAAATAATTTAAAAAAATTTAATTCCTTGAATTATGCATATATTTTAGAAGCTATTTGATGACTTCCGGTGGCTGAACTGGCTGTTGATTTTCTGATTTTGTAGTAGTGCCTCCTTATACCTAGTTTGGTGATAGAGGAGGTCCTGTGGCTTTAAAGGCTTCAAGTAATGACGTTAGTTCTGCATTGAGGGATGTTGGGTATGGTGTGTGACAAGGTATGCTCATAGAGCTAAAGGATAGGCAACTTACTTAGGCCTAGGTCCATTAGCCCATGCCGATCCAAGGGTGAAGTCATAGTTGCAGAAACTAGGGTTTCAAGAGAGAGGAAGAAGAGAAGAGAAAAGAAGAAGAAGAGGAAGAAGAGAGCAAGTGCCGAGAGGTGTGTGTTATTCACTGTTCACACCCTCAAAAGATTTTTTTATAATTTGAGAAAATAAGAATTACAAGAAAGCCCCTATATGGGTGCCCAAATACTGAAAGAGTATAAGAAAGGAGAAAAAAACCAAAAACACCCCTGTCTAGCCATTCTCAACACTCCTCCTCAAGTTGAGCATATTTGTCAATCATGCCCATCTTGGCAAGGTCTTTGCAAACTTTGGATGGTGAACACCTTTAGTGAGGCAATCAGCTAGTTGGTCTTCTGACCTTACAAAAGGAAGGCAAATCTCTCCGCTAGCAATTTTTTCTCTAATAAAGTGTCTATCCACTTCAATATGCTTTGTATGATCATGTTGGATAGGATTGTGAGCAATATTTATGGCTGCTTGATTGTCACAATATAGTCTCATTGGAACATCTACTTGGATGCCCATCTCAGTCAATAAGGTCTTCAACCAGAGTAGTTCACACACTCCATGAGCCATTGCTCTGTACTCTACCTCAACACTAGAACGAGCATCCACAGATTGTTTCTTACTTCTCCAAGAAACCACATTGCCTCCAACTGAGGCATAATAATCGGATGTAGATCTTTTATCATTGATGGACCCTGCCCAATCAACATCTATGTAAGCTTCAATCTTTAGGTGGCCGTGGTTGGAATACAACATCCCTTTGCCAGGGCATCCTTTCAGGTAGGCTAAAATTCTATTAACTGCCTGCATATGAGATGTCCTGGGTTCATGCATATATTGGCTAACCACTCCAACAACATAGGAAATGTCAGGTCTAGTCAAACAAAGATACAGAAGGCGTCCCACTAATCTCTGATATACCCCCTGTCTAGAAGAACTTCTCATTCAGTAGAGTTCAACTTGTGGTTGGGATTAATTGGAGTTTCTACAGGCTTATACCCTAATTTCTCAACCTCATGAAGCAAATTAAGTACATATTTCCTTTGTAATAGAAAAATCCTCTTCTTGGATCTTGCAACTTTAATGCCAAGAAAGTATTGGAGATCACCAAAGTCCTTAGTCTCAAATTCAGAAGCAAGGAATGACTTTAACTGAGAGATACCTGTGATACCATCACCTGTCACAACAATGTCATCAACATATACTATCTACATTATTACTCTACCATCAACTCTTCTAATAAATAAGGTGTGGTTAGCCTAAGATTGAGAAAAATCAATCTTTAAGATGGCATTCTTGAACCTATCAAACCATGCTCTTGGAGATTGTTTTAGCCCATACAAAGACTTCTTCAAGCGGCACACTTTTCCATCACTATTAGGAAAAATTACCCTAGGTGGTAAGTCCATATACACTTCCTCTTGTAAGTCCCAATTAAGGAAGGCATTCTTTAGATCCATTTGATATAAAGGCCATGAGTAATGGGTGGCAAGAGACATGATCACACGAATAGAGTTCATTTTAGCAACTGGAGCAAAGGTTTCCAGATAATCAATGCCATAAGTCTGAGTGTATCATTTGGCTACAAGCCGAGCTTTGTATCTTTCAATTGGGCCATTTGTCTTGTGCTTAATAGTATAAACCCACTTACACCCAACATGAATCTTATCTTTGGGGCAAGGAACAACCTTCCAAGTCTGGTTCTTTATTAGGGCCTCCATTTCTTGGTTCATTGCTTCCTTCTAGTGGGGGGCACTGCATTGCCTCTTTAACAATGCGAGGGATGAAAACAGAAGAGATAGCAGAAATATAGGCACAATAGGAAGGTGAAAGAACATCACAAGACACATAGTGATAGGATACTTCCTACATGTCCTCTTCCCTTTTTAAATGGCAATAGGAAGATCAATGTTAGAATCAATAATAGGATTATCAGGAGGTTCAAGATTACTTGAGTCTGAGAAATTAGATTGTGATGGGCATTCTGCTTTAGGAGCCACCCTCTTACTGCGCTTGATGAAAAACTACTACCAGGACTGAGGTTGATACACAGGAGGAGGAGGAGAAGGAACAGAGGTAGGAAGAGAGGGAGGAATAGATGTAGGAATAGGAAGGCAGAAGGGAGTACAATCTTCACTTGCATTCTCCCCCTGAAGAGAAGGACGGGGTGACTGGAAAAAGGAAGAGGATTCCAAAAAGGTAACATCCTTAGAGACATATCTCTTGCCAGAGAGAGCATCAAAGCATCTATAGCCTTTTTAGACTGGATAGTAACCAAGGAATACACACTTAACTGATTTAGGATCAAACTTGCGTCGGGCAGGACTCATATCATGAACAAAACAAACACAACCAAAGACCTTAAGGGGTAGATTAAAAAGAGCTTCATCAGGGAAGAGTAGTTGATGAGGAGAGTGAAGGTTAAGGACCCTTGATGGGAGTCTGTTAATGAGATATGCAACTGTCTCAACAACATCACCCCAGAAATGAGTTGGAACAATAAGCCTCAAGCAACTTCAACCACATGCCTATTTTTTCTTTTAGCCACCCCATTTTGTTGTGGAGTATGACTACATGAACTTTGTTGAATAGTGCCCCTGTCTTCAAAAAATCTATGCAAGTGATGTTCAAAGTATTCCTCAGCATTGTCCGATCTTATTATCTTAACTCTTTTCTCAAATTGTGTCTCGACCATATTCATGAAGTTTTGAACAATCAAAGGAACTTCATCTCTACTTTTCATCAAATAAAGCCATGTATACAGATCGTAGTCTTCAATGAAGAGAATGAAATATTTGTATCCCCCCTAACAGAGGACAACATATGGGTCCCAAACATCAGTATGGATCAAGTGGACAGTAACATTACTTCTTTTACTACTTGCAAAATATGTGTTTCTACATTGTTTGGATAAATGACAAACTTCACATTCAAAATTCAATTTGGACACAGAATCAAACAAGTTTGGAAACAAAAACTTGACAGAATTGACAGACATATGACCAAGGCGACAATGTCATAATTTCAAAAGACTCATTTTCTCATTGGAACAAGACTCGGTTTGGCTTGACAATCCATGCTCTGAAGGTCCATCTAGGAGGTAGACTCCATCCACTTCATGCCCACTTCCAATCGTCTTCCCCATGCTTAGGTCCTAAAATACACAAGAGAAAGGTCACTGAGCAATTGTGGGATTTTGTTAGAGAACTAATAGACAATAAATTTTTTTGTAGCTGGGGCACATGTAGAACAGAGTCAAGAGAAAGGTTATTAGTGATTCTGATTTCACCCTGATCTGTGATTGGGGTTTGAGATCCATCAAAAACAGTAATCTTGCCCTTCCCTGGGGTTAACTTATATGAGGT